CGGAGCGAGCGGTCGGCTCGCTAAAAAACTCACTGAAGGCGACTCTGGCAGCAGACGACAGCGGAGGCATGGAACTGGCGCTCGCCCGAGTTCTGATGGCGTACAGAGTGACGCCCCACGCCGCGACCGCACGGACTCCCGCTGAGATGCTGTTCGGGCGGAACCTCCGCACTCGTATGAACCTCATGGTTCCGAGCGCCGAGACAGCTCTGCAGGCGGCTCGGGACCGGCAGCGTGAGACGGCCGGCGGACGGAGCAGGGAATTCGCCGTGGGAGCTACAGTGTGGGCCCGCTCGTATGACGGTCGTCAGAAGTGGGTCCGCGGCACGGTGGTCGCCCGCCCCGGTCCCGTGTCGTATGAAGTGGACGTGGGACACGTGATCTGGTCGCGCCACGTTGACCAGCTGTTGGCGGCGGCGGCGGACCCAGGGAACAGCGCCGGCGGTGACGTCAGAGCGGCCACCGGCGGTAGTGTCCGAGCGGCGACCAGTGGTGACGTCAGAGCGACGACCGGCGGTGACGTCAGAGCGACGACCGGCGGTGACGTCAGAGCGACGACCGGCGGTGACGTCAGAGCGACGACCGGCGGTGACGTCAGAGCGACGACCGGCGGTGACCGGGCTGGTGGCGCCGGCGGCAGCGCCGGGCGCCCTGTCGGAGACGATCGCGCCAATGGCCTCGGTGACGGCAGCCGCGCCGGCGTCGCCGGTCAGGCCTGTGACCGGGGAGCAGTCGGCCTCGGCCGTGCCGGTGATCTCGGCGGCGGCGGGGATGCCGGTGACCCCGGTGGCTACGGCCGTGCTGGTGACCCCGGCGGCGGCGGTAGTGCCGGTGACCTCAGCGGCGGCGGTGATGCCGTCAGCAGCGGCGGTAGTGCCGGTGACCTCGGCGGCGGCGGTGATACCGGTGACCTCAGCGGCTACAGTCACACCGGCGGTGGCGGTGACGGCGGCGGCAGGGGCGGCGGGGACACTGAGGGCCCCTCGCAACGCCGTTCCGCTCGGCGCCGGAGGTGCCCGAGGCGACTGATCGCCGAGGTTTAAAATGTGTTTGTTTCCACGTTCCGACGCGTAATGTGTTTGTTTCCACGTTCCGACGCGTAATGTGTTTGTTTCCACGTTCCGACGCGTAATGTGTTTGTTTCCACGTTCCGGTTTAAAATGTGTTCCGTTTTAAGGGCGGCAGGTTAAAGTGAATGTGTTCCGTTTTAAGGGCGGCAGGGTGTGGTGTCGCGAGCTGCTCCCCCCCTGCCCCGGGGCCTGGCGACGCCAGTTGCTCCCCCCTGCCCGGGGGCCTGGCGACGCCATTGGCGGCGCCGGCGCGCAGACGCGGGGTTCGAGAGCAGTCGGCCGCCGGCCCGCGCGGAGCGCGGTTGTGGTAGTAGCGATCGGTGTTTGGCGCTCTAGGAAGTTTAACGCAATGCGGCTTTGGTTGTGAATAAAGAGCTCACGTTATAACACGCTCATCAGTCAACATTTTCTGGCATGATCCTGCTCAGCGTGCTCTTCAGTATTGCTCCAAGGTCTGCAATATTATAGCTTGTTTTTGGCCAATAAACTGTTTTAATTTTTACTTTTTCTTGCTGATATATGAGCCCGATCAGCTTGCGTTAATCAACCAAAATTTCATAACTTGTTCAACTTGATATTGATATTGTTCAGGAGTCAGGACCTCTGTCAGCCTCCTGGCTACTTCAGATTGTTTTCAGTCAACATGCGCCTTAAATATGATATAAGTCAATCTTAAGGGATTCAAAACATCCAACAAAACGACGTACAAGAGCAAGAAAACCACCAGATAAACTAAAAAATGGCCTTGGAACAAAGCCAAATGGTGTGCTCCATTTGTTTGTTTACAATGATTGTAGTGCTGATGTATTTTTAGGACTCTGAACGTCGGCTTATAAAAAAATGAAACGTTTTTACAAAAGTTATAAGGCAAGTAATATTTATCTGAAAGAACTAAAATATTCAAAAGCCAAACACTATGAAATACAAGAATCGGAACGAAAAAGTAACCCAAAAATCCAGCCCAATCACCGGCTCCTAAAACTGCAACACAATTGTTTTTTTTTTTTACTTTTTTGCTTTTTTTACTTTTCGTCCTGAATGCATGACATTCTAAGCCCCAAATCACAAACCCTTCTCCAAAATGCTTGCCCAAAATGAAAAAGCATGCCCTTATTTGAATCCCAGGAAAAAGGTGTCTCATCGACTGATGTGCTAAGACTTCAAAATCAGTGGTGCATAGACTTGTGATCAGCTCAGTTGAGCCGGCTCAAAAATCAGCTCAGCTCATGAGCCGGCTCAACATTTTGCCAAATTGTTGAGCTATGAGCTGAGCCGGCTCAGTAATGCATTGAGCTGAGCTGCTGTCTGAGCTGAGCTGAATGAGCTTGAGCTGAGCAGAGCTGAATGAGCTTGAGCTGAGCTGAGCTGAGCTGATTGAGCTGAGCTGAGCTGAGCTGAGCTGAGCGAGCTGAGCTGAGCTGATTGAGCTGAGCTGATTTAGCTGAGCTGAGCTGATCCAGTTATAATTCTTTTCAGTTCATGCTTGGAAATTAACTCAGGCTTTGATGCTTCAGCTATGAGCTAGCTATGGAGTGAGCAATTAGCTAATGGAGTGAGCCTTCGTGATCGCACTTAAAAATGCCAAAACTCTAAAGAAATCAATAGTAATCACTAACCAAGCTTAATTTCTTTCATCTATATTGCATGGAAATTGGAAGACCAGGATCTTGGCCAATTTACAGGCTAATACAGCCAGTCTAAAGTTTCAAGTCTGACTGCAAGATGAATACCTACTGTCAGGCTTTGATGCTTCGCCTTGACACTCTGCTCCGCAATGTACAATTCAGCATTCTTCACATTGTTATTTAAGCAGTTATTTAAATTAATTTATCAATAAGGGTTCTTGCCTCTACATAAAATATTTACAATTAGGAATTAGCAGATAAAGTTCCTCTTCGTTGGTTGAATGTGGGCTAAGCAACCATATCCTATTGAAAGTGGACTGCCCCACCCCAGGCACTGGCATTTTTCATAACACGGCCTGTCAGGGGGGGGGGGGGTTGATGCGACCCCCCTCGCGATTCGCTCCTATGGCACCTAGAAACACCAAATTTGGTAGGTAGGTGGGCCCCCTGGAGTTCTCGCACCTGTGCAAATTTGGTTGCTCAAGGTCAATATTTAGGGTTTTTTTTTGGGGGGTGGGGGTATAAATGTAAAAATTTCGCTAAAAACAGGTCAAACGTTTTTCGCTTATAACTTTTGATCTAATTAAGATAGAGAAAAAAGAAAAGCACCAGTGATTTCAGCACGTCAAGGCGCGTTGAATGATATGCTTTTTTGCTTGCTTTAGTGTACTTTAAGTTTTTCTTAATTTTTAAGTAAACCTTAATTATTTAATTAAGTTCAAGTTCACCAAATTGCATCATATCGCATATCATTCGATTCGGCTAATCACCAGGAACACAATGATACCATTTTTAAGCTCTAGCTTCATTATGTGCCAAGTTATTGGCAAAAACGTCATTTGACCTCAGTTGACCTCATTTTACCCGACCCATGGATAAGTACACCAAATAAAGAAGCACCAAGTGACCTGCTGTAAAGTACCGTGGTTTCAAAGCACAAAAGTGATAGAACGAAGCGGATATCTCCAGTATTTTCCGAATTTAGTGTTTTCCCATAGGCTTAACATTACGACGTAATGACCTCTAACTGACCTCAGGTCAGTGACATCAAAAAACCCGAAATATATGTTATACAACTCGGTGAACTTAGCACATCCTGAGAGTTTCAAGGAAATCATTCAAAAACTGTGAGTTGGACAGGTGCAAAAAGAAAATTGAAATTTGACCATGACCTTATACCGGTTTTTTGACCTGGTGACCTGATCCAAGGTCACCCGGACCTGAAATTTTCAGGTCATATGTAAAAAGGTTGCCCCCTTAGGCTGTGCCAAATTTGGCGGCGCTGCGCGCCGCCGTTTTTACGCTATCTTCGAAAAACCTTAGGGGGGTTTGCATCAACCCCCTGCCAGGGGAGGGTTTAAAAGAACGACTGAACGACCTGAGCGTGAATTTAACTGAGCGGAAACTGAGCTGAGCTGAGTTGAGCGGAAACTGAGCTGAGCTGAACGGGAACTGAGTTGAGCTGAGCTGAGCTGAGCGGAAACTGAGCTGAGCTGAGCGGAAACTGAGCTGAGCTGAGCTGAGCGGAAACTGAGCTGAGCTGAGCTGAGCGGAAACTGAGCTGAGCGGAAACTGAACTGAGCTGAGCGGAAACTGAGCTGAGCTGGGCGGAAACTGAGCTGAGCTGAGCTGAGCGGAAACTGAGCTGAGCGGAAACTGAACTGAGCTGAGCGGAAACTGAGCTGAGCTGGGCGGAAACTGAGCTGAGCTGAGCTGAGCGGAAACTGAGCTGAGCTGAGCTGAGCGTGAGCGGAGCGTAGCCGGTTTGAGCGGAACGTGAGCTGAGCTGAGTTGCGTTAAACTGAGCGGCAGCTGAGCGGGAGCGGATAAGACGGAATTGAGCTGAGCGAGCTCACTTTTTTCTTGAGCTGTCACAAGTCTGGTGGTGCAAGATACTGGCTGCAAATTTGGAGTAACCTTGTCCCACATTCTGTCATACAGAACCCTTGTTTTAGCCGTGACACATAACAAACGGGTATTCCAAGGGCAAGAATTTCCGAAAAGTAGCAAGTGATTGAATTTCGTCGCGTTCGGTTTCGCTGTAACTGTATTCGCTCAACTGGTTTCCCATTGACCACGATATATTCGCTCAATCTGGTTTCGCTGATTCTGGTCCTCGCTAAAGCTGATAATCGCTGTGATTGAATTCGCCGACTTGACAATCGCTGGAAAAGTTAATCGCTTAAATTGATAATCGCTGAAAATGTTTCGCTCAAATGTCGTTCGCTGAAATGACGCTCGCTCAGGTGTCGCAGAACCGTTGGTTGCCCTCCCCGACTGCGCGCCATTTCCCCCGGTGGCCCACCTGGCGTAGGGGTCCACCAGCAGCTCGGAGAGACGCCGGCCGTCCTCCCAGACCGAGAGTCGGATCACATCCGGGTGCCACCGCTCCGCCTCTGTGGCACAGTGAGGGGTACTGTCAGACACGCGGTACCTAAATACCACCGCCGGCCGGAGGACCGTCCCAGAGGACTGGGTCGGGAACCGCTGGGGAGCGGGCACGGCACGACTCCAGGCCCTCATCAACACACCGGGCTCCAATACCGGCCCCCGCTCCAATATCAGTGGGCGAGCACATACAGACACACGCCGAGCACACCCGGTACCCCTCCCCTCACATACAAACACACGCCGAGTACACCCAGTACCCCTCCCCTCCCCCTCACATACAGACACACGCCGAGCACACCCGGTACCCCTCCCCTCCCCCTCACATACAGACACACGCCGAGTACACCCGGTACCCCTCCCCCTCCCCCTCACATACAGACACACGCCGAGTACACCCGGTACTCCTCCCCTCCCCTCACATACAGACACACGCCGAGTACACCCGGTACCCCTCCCCCTCACATACAGACACACGCCGAGCACACCCAGTACCCCTCCCCTCCCCCTCACATACAGACACACGCCGAGCACACCCAGTACCCCTCCCCTCCCCCTCACATACAGACACACGCCGAGTACACCCGGACCCAGTACCCCTCCCCTCCCCCTCACATACATACACACGCCGAGTACACCCGGTACCCCTCCCCTCCCCCTCACATACAGACACACGCCGAGTACACCCAGTACCCCTCCCCCTCACATACAGACACACGCCGAGTACAACCGGTACCCCTCCCCTCCCCCTCACATACAGACACACGCCGAGTACACCCGGTACCCCTCCCCCTCACATACAGACACACGCCGAGTACAACCGGTACCCCTCCCCTCCCCCTCACATACAGACACACGCCGAGTACACCCGGTACCCCTCCCCCTCACATACAGACACACGCCGAGTACACCCAGTACCCCTCCCCTCCCCCTCACATACAGACACACGCCGAGTACAACCGGTACCCCTCCCCCTCACATACAGACACACGCCGAGTACAACCGGTACCCCTCCCCTCCCCCTCACATACAGACACACGCCGAGTACACCCGGTACCCCTCCCCCTCACATACAGACACACGCCGAGTACAGTCACCAGCACTTGCTACTAATCACCTCGTTTTTGCTCAGTAGTTTGAAGACCGATCAATTCTCAGTCGCGCAAGATACGTCAAACGATCGGTTTGGTCCTCCGATTTTCGAATATCTAACTTGTTTTTGTATGTTCGAAGCATTTTGGGATGAGGAGCCAAAAAAACGTCTTTTCTGCCCTAAAGTTGCCCCAAGAAGTCGCAGAACCTAGCCCCGCCTCTGATCCACAGACCACTAGTGCCATCTCTTGTCAGCCGAACAAACCGCAGGAGTAAATAATGTCACGTGACCTTTGCACACGCTACAATTACTACGCAGTTGTAGTGGGGGAAGCGGGGCGGAGGCGTGGAGAGGGACGCGATCGGTCCGGTCGGCTGGGATCAGGTCGCCGAGGTCAGAGGTCATCCGCCGGAGGGTGTTTGGGCGGTTGAGCCGTGTGGGCTGGGGCTTGCGGAGTGGGGAGAGCCTGGATCTGTCTGGAAACAAGTTCTACAACGCTGTGGCAGTCGAGAATATTGTGAGCAAAGAGCGAGAGAGAGAGAGAGAGAGAGAGAGAGAGAGAGAGAGAGAGAGAGAGGAGAGAGAGAGAAGAAAGACTGGAGGGAAGGGATAAGGACGGGAGGAGAGAAAAGAGAGACAGAAAAGGAAAACCAGGAAGGGTAAAATGAGAGAGAGGGTAATGGGTAAATCAGTGAGAGGGAGCGAGAGAGAAAATATTTAGTTGTGTCAGCTCTTGTTTCGTATGTAAATTGTAAATTTGCTTTCCATCATTTCAGCTTCGGATTGGAAATTAAATCTTAGCATCATTATGATAAATCCACGCTGACGGGATGGGGACGTTTTTATGGTCGTCGTTGGGAGCTCGGCACTAAGGGGATGATGTTGAGGATTTCGCAAATATTTCATAAAAGAGATTATATTTTTGCAACACCTATTAAACATTTTTTTACGTTTGCTATGAAAAATGTTAGGCCCAGTTCCTTCAAGATCAGGTCTACGACTCCACAGCTTACAACAGGAGCTAGCTAACATAACAATTCACCCGCGCCGTGTTGGTGGCACGAACTTTCCGTCGAGTGCTGAGGGGGGGGGGGGCGTTTCACGCCCCTCCGTCTAACTCGGCTCCTGGGCCACGTAGCGACACGCGGTAAGCGGCAATCGAAAGAGCGTCAAAAATAAGACGGAAAACACTCGGCCATTTTAAGGTCAGGGCAAAGGTCAGGTCACGAGCTCATCAAAGGTCAAATTTTGTCGATTTAAACGATTTTAAACATCCGACGGCTTACTCTGGAACCAATAGAGCTACAGCGCGTGGAAAAGCGCATTCGATAGCTCTTTTAACGCTCTTTCGCCAACATGTCCTCAAATTTAACCTCAGATCAATGGTTTAGCCCTCGGAGGGCACCGCTCTAATTGACCTCAAATTTGACCTCAGATCAACGGTTTAGTATTTAGTTTAGTGTTTTCATCGCTCTAGCACGTCTCTTTCAAATCAAAAGTTATAGTAAAATAAAAACTGCTGAAGACCTTTCATGACCTGAGATGACCTCAGCGGCACACAAAGGGGGCACAGGTGCAATTTTCCAATTCGGAGTGTCATGTTTACATATGAACCGATGTTTGAGAGGGTGTAGAACGACATTCGGCCAAAAGAGGCTCATTTCAATTTTCTCCCATTGACTTATATGGAGCAGTCGCAAAATTGACCTGACCTTAGGTCACAACTCAGATAAAAAATCCTAGATATCCATTTTATACATACTGTTGCCCTGAGCAAGTACTGAAAGTTTCAAAGTGATCGCTCAGTCGGTGTAGCTACAGCGAGCTTTCTAACTTTTTCTGAGGTAAGGTCACTTGACGTTACATGGTGACCTGACCTTGAATGACCGGGATCTGAAATTTTCATAGCATGTGCGAAAAAGATGTCGGAACGGGTGCATCTAAAACAGCGGCGCTACGCGTCGCCGTTTTTGAGATATTCGCGAAAAACCTAGGGGGCGTAAAAGCGCCCCCCCCCCCCAGGACGGCGCGGATCAAACGGCCCCTGAGACCTCGGGATGGTACCCCTGAGACTTCGAGATGGTGCCCTCAGACCTCGCGATGGTGCTACCGGAGACCTTGGGATGGTGCCCCGGACCCTCGAGATGGTGCCCTCTCCGACCTTGGGATGGTGCCTGCGGAGAACTCGGGATAGTGCCCCCTGAGAACTCGAGATGGTGCCCCCGCGGACCTCGGGATGTAAATAGATGGACAATATTAAACTAAAAACTAAAAAACTCGACTAAACTAAAAAAAAAAACGAGGCGAGGGACAGAAATGGGCCTCCGGGAGACCCCGAAAACGGTACCCTATTCCGATAGACCTTCTGGATGGTGCCCCCTTAGGAGACCTCTGGGTTAAAGCTCCCGTCGGTGACCTCCGTGATGAATTAAAAAAAAAACTCCGTGATGGGCCCCCGGAAATCCCGGGGGGGAGAATGGCCCCCATGCCCTCCCTCTGGATCCGCCACTGAAATGATCTGACCCAAGATCTTACCTAAAACCGACCAAAAGCCTTCCTGCCCTTCCTTCATTGTCCGAAAACCGCTGACAGTTGATAGCTCAATGACATTAGAGCCGTGCATACTCGTAAGGAGGCGTGAAAACACTCTCCTCATCTCGATCTATTACGAGAGGACCATGTCATGGCGTGAGAAAGGTGTTCTCAATATAGATGACACTGTATGAATGAGTAAACAATTTGCGCCCCGTTGGGCTATTGGCGGACCCTACCACCTGATGGGGTGGTGCAGCCGTTTCGTCCTCCACCTGAGATTTCGGAAAGTTACCGACCGATTTTGAAAATTCGAAGAACGTTCGATAGCCCCACCAGGGGCTATCGAACCTTGTTACCAGGTTTCGTTGGCCTAGGTGCAACCCATGACGTCACAAGTCAGGTCAAAGGTTGCATTTTTCACCGATTTAGTCTAAGGAATGCGTTACAGTCAGTTAACACATCAAATAAAAGGCATGTTATCGAAAAATATCGATGGAGCGTGGTTGCCCAATACATATGTTGCAAAAAGAGGTCACTGATGCCAGGTCAGGTCAAAGAGGTCAGGTCACCAAGGGTCACAATATGAACCCAACTATGCTAATTGCTAGGGTCGCGTGATACATGTTTTATGGTCAATTTTACATTTAAAATTCAATGGTGTGGGCTAGACGGCCATTGGGGCCGGTTTAGATTACGTTCTGGTGGAGGTCAGGTCAAGGTCAGGTCAAAAAGGGTTAAATTTCAGAGTTGATAATTTGTATAAAAGGGGTATCTATTCGATGCAGCTCATCACGGGAAATCCAATGGTGGTCTTTGGCTTGCTCTGTGTGTTCTGTGACGGCTAAAAATTGAGTTTGAAAATTTTACGTTATACATTTTGAGTAGTGTTTTTTTTTTTTGCCATAACTTTGCTAAAAATGGAGCTGTCGAGTTTAAGTTGTATGTATAACTATATTAGCATAAAAACACACATTAAAGCAAATTCAAAAACTTGACCTTTCCGAAATCACACCTCGGTCAGACTGAGGGACACGATTCGCGCGCCGTCACAGCCCCGACCCCGACCCCGACTGACCTTGACCAACGTTTAAGTTTGGCATATCTAGAGCAGATAGTTCTATAACATATAGGTATTCCAGCTTTAATTTTGAATGTTGTTGGTATTTTCGGGGTGTTATACTTCTATAGTTTTGATGGTCAAAATCAATTTTTGTTTAGAATTCAGAGTTGGCAGTTTTGTAGTGCTGTTTATTTTACATCTTTTTTATCTTGAATACCTATTTTTGTTATCTTCAAAACTGTAAGCGTGACAGCTTTTCCCGCTAAACCTTTTATTGGGTCGAAAATGACAGAACATGACGTCACTCTGACGTCATTTGTGACTAACCTTTCATAAGAGCTCTGGAAAAATTTGTTCACAAGGTGTAAAATGATGCCCGGAGGGGTCTTGAAAGTTTGGTGGCGACCTATGCTATCCTTTAGGAGATATCGACTGAAAAGGAGAGGGGGCTGTTTCGCGCCCCCCTCCCCCCCAACGGGGCTCGAGGTTTTCAGTTGTTGCTCTCACATAACTCTTGGTTATATTACAACGTAGTGGAATTGCAAGCTTGGCAATATAAGCTTCCTGTCAGCGCCGGACCCGAGTTTAAACATGCAGGCTGAATTTTAACATTTGACTTTTAAATTTTTACCGTTGAGCTTTTTAGAAGTTGTATGAACTGTTCAGCTCCTTTTTTGGTCCATCACAGCGGGCTTGTATGTCATTTGTCAATCAAAATCGAATTACAAACTTTTTATTGGGTCTGGTTATCTCGCCAACTTCTTAACTGAATCGTTTAGTAGCTTTTGATTGGGCACTGCCCACGTTGTCTGTCAAACTTTTCGTGTCAACGAGAAGAGGCTGCTGACATCGTTTGTCGCGGTTAGATAATACCAATCCACGTCTCAGTGTGGCTGCTCGATCGCACTTTCCCTGGCCCACCTCTCCCACCAGGCTAGGCTTTGCCCGGCACAGCCGTCGCCTCAGTGCCTCGGGCGGTGACCCGTTCAAAGGGGCTCACAATTCGTATGGTGCCGTGGCTCTCAAACCAACGAAACGCACAGGCTTACCTTCCATATAAGGCGAACGGCTGATTCTGGCGCCGGGGCTTCATTCATGCTAAAGCGCCCAATCACAGCGCCGCATTTCAGTTAGTGTCGGGCGCAAAAGCTACTATGCTCCGCCCCTCCATCACGTGACCCTGCCCTCACGTGGCCTCAGTCACGTGGTGTTTCCACTTCTTGGCGCATGGCGGCGCTAGTCTCGCAAGGGCGGTGGTAGCTTGCTCCCCCGCCGTCCGGGGGTGATGGGTAGCAAGTGCTGGTGACTGTACACCCGGTACCCCTCCCCCTCACATACAGACACACGCCGAGTACAACCGGTACCCCTCCCCCTCACATACAGACACACGCCGAGTACACCCGGTACCCCTCCCCTCCCCCTCACATAGACACACGCAGAGTACACCCGGTACCCCTCCCCTCCCCCTCACATACAGACACACACCGAGTACACCCGGTACCCCTCCCCCTCACATACAGACACACGCCGAGTACAACCGGTACCCCTCCCCTCCCCCTCACATACAGACACACGCCGAGTACACCCGGTACCCCTCCCCCTCACATACAGACACACGCCGAGTACAACCGGTACCCCTCCCCTCCCCCTCACATACAGACACACGCCGAGTACACCCAGTACCCCTCCCCTCCCCCTCACATACAGACACACGCCGAGCACACCCGGTACCCCTCCCCTCCCCCTCACATACAGACACACGCCGAGTACACCCGGTACCCCTCCCCCTCACATACAGACACACGCCGAGTACACCCAGTACCCCTCCCCTCCCCCTCACATACAGACACACACCGAGTACACCCGGTACCCCTCCCCCTCACATACAGACACACGCCGAGTACACCCAGTACCCCTCCCCTCCCCCTCACATACAGACACACGCCGAGTACACCCGGTACCCCTCCCCCTCACATACAGACACACACCGAGTACACCCGGTACCCCTGCCTCCCCCTCACATACAGACACACGCCGAGTACACCCAGTACCCCTCCCCTCCCCCTCACATACAGACACACGCCGAGTACACCCGGTACCCCTCCCCTCCCCCTCACATACAGACACACGCCGAGTACACCCGGTACCCCTCCCCCTCCCCCTCACATACAGACACACGCAGAGTACACCTGGTACCCCTCCCCTCCCCCTCATATACAGACACACGCCGAGTACACCCGGTACCCCTCCCCTCCCCCTCACATACAGACACACACCGAGTACACCCGGTACCCCTCCCCCTCACATACAGACACACGCCGAGTACACCCGGTACCCCTCCCCTCCCCCTCACATACAGACACACACCGAGTACACCCGGTACCCCTCCCCCTCACATACAGACACACGCCGAGTACAACCGGTACCCCTCCCCTCCCCCTCACATACAGACACACGCAGAGTACACCCGGTACCCCTGCCTCCCCTGCGTTCCCTCTCACCGTCTCCCTGCTCCACTCGGAATTCGACTCCGAACAGTTGGCTGGACAGCTCCGTCAGGAAGCGCAGCGCCCCGACCAGACTGAACTGTCCGGCCGCGTCCGACTCCTCGGCGCTGCGGCGACACGGGACGGGCGGCGGCGGCGGCGGGGGGGCACGTCAGACGGCGGCGGGAGGGGGGGGGGGCACTGAGACAGCGCGGGCGAGTACCGGTACATCAGTGGTACGCACAAACTGAACTGCGCAGTGACAAACCAAACAACCATACCGTCTCACTATGACTGTGGCCGAGCTCAGTGTGTGGCCGGTCGGTGGACGTGGATGTGAGACGGCTGATCAGCCACTGGGCGCTGAGTGCTACCGCCGGCCCGACCCCGGCCCCGGCCCCGTCACCCGGCCGGAGGCCAGAGGGCGCCAGGCCGACTCGGCAGTACCTCCCGCCCGTTCACCTGACCGTGAGCAGTACCTCCCGTCCGCTCACCTGAAGGTGCTCAGTTTGTGCCGTCGCCGCCAGTAGGGTACGTCGCAGATCTCGAGCGGCTGCTGCTCGCCGTTGGAGCGGGCGAACGCGTTCAGCTCCTCCAGCTCTCTGTCCTGGACGGGCCGCGCTGCCGGCGGGCGGGGGCGGGGGCGGCTAACATGGCGGGGCGGGCGGGCGCAGTCGCCAGCGGAGACACGGCAGGCCGACGCAATGTCACGAAACACTTCATATAGTGATAATTGCGCTGTAAGCTGTTTCATTTGAAATAGCAACTGCATAACTTCGTACTTTACACTCAGTTTGCTGTACTTAACGTAACTAAGAAAGGTGTAAGAGGCCTAAAACGTGTAAAACTATGAATTAATCCCAAACTTCTTTGCTAGCGACTGCTGCATGAAGCCATCACCGAGGGGTGGCATACAGCGTCCGGCTCTGACCTCCGCTATGGGTGGGCGCACCCACCGGCTACCACCCACCGGTAGCACCCACCGGTAGCACCCACCGGCTACCACCCACCGGCTACCACCCACCGGTAGCACCCACCGGCAACACTCACCGGCTACCACCCACCAGCCATACCCTCACACCGGCTATACCCACCACCTGTCTATCACCGGCTGTCTATCTGGGACCCACCGGCTGTCTATCTGGGACCCACCGGCTGTCTATCTGGGACCCACCGGCTGTCTATCTGGGACCCACCGGCTGTCTATCTGGGACCCACCGGCTGTCTATCACCGGCTGTCTATCCGGGACCCACCGGCTGTCTATCTGGGACCCACCGGCTGTCTATCACCGGCTGTCTATCTGGGACCCACCGGCTGTCTATCCGGGACCCACCGGCTGTCTATCTGGGACCCACCGGCTGTCTATCTGGGACCCACCGGCTGTCTATCTGGGACCCACCGGCTGTCTATCACCGGCTGTCTATCCGGGACCCACCGGCTGTCTATCTGGGACCCACCGGCTGTCTATCTGGGACCCACCGGCTGTCTATCACCGGCTGTCTATCCGGGACCCACCGGCTGTCTATCTGGGACCCACCGGCTGTCTATCTGGGACCCACCGGCTGTCTATCTGGGACCCACCGGCTGTCTATCCGGGACCCACCGGCTGTCTATCTGGGACCCACCGGCCGTCTATCACCGGCTGGCTATCTGGGACCCAATGGCTGTCTATCTGGGACCCACCGGCTGTCTATCTGGGACCCACCGGCTGTCTATCTGGGACCCACCGGCTGTCTATCCGGGACCCACCGGCTGTCTATCTGGGACCCACCGGCTGTCTATCTGGGACCCACCGGCTGTCTAGCACCGGCTGGCTATCTGGGACCCACCGGCTGTCTATCTGGGACCCACCGGCTGTCTATCTGGGACCCACCGGCTGTCTATCTGGGACCCACCCCCTGTCTATCTGGGACCCACCAGCTGTCTATCTGGGACCCACCGGCTGTCTATCACCGGCTGTCTATCCGGGACCCACCCCCTGTCTATCTGGGACCCACCAGCTGGCTATCTGGGACCCACCGGCTGTCTATCTGGGACCCACCCCCTGTCTATCTGGGACCCACCGGCTGTCTATCCGGGACCCACCGGCTGTCTATCACCGGCTGGCTATCTGGGACCCACCGGCTGTCTATCTGGGACCCACCGGCTGTCTATCTGGGACCCACCGGCTGTCTATCACCGGCTGTCTATCCGGGACCCACCGGCTGGCTATCTGGGACCCACCGGCTGTCTATCCGGGACCCACCGGCTGTCTATCTGGGACCCACCGGCTGTCTATCCGGGACCCACCGGCTGTCTATCCGGGACCCACCGGCTGTCTATCCGGGACCCACCGGCTGTCTATCTGGGACCCACCGGCTGTCTATCACCGGCTGTCTATCCGGGACCCACCGGCTGTCTATCTGGGACCCACCGGCTGTCTATCACCGGCTGTCTATCCGGGACCCACCGGCTGTCTATCCGGGACCCACCGGCTGTCTATCTGGGACCCACCGGCTGTCTATCTGGGACCCACCGGCTGTCTATCACCGGCTGTCTATCCGGGACCCACCGGCTGTCTATCTGGGACCCACCGGCTGTCTATCTGGGACCCACCGGCTGTCTATCTGGGACCCACCGGCTGTCTATCTGGGACCCACCGGCTGTCTATCACCGGCTGTCTATCTGGGACCCACCGGCTGTCTATCTGGGACCCACCGGCTGTCTATCTGGGACCCACCGGCTGTCTATCCGGGACCCACCGGCTGTCTATCTGGGACCCACCGGCTGTCTATCACCGGCTGTCTATCTGGGACCCACCGGCTGTCTATCACCGGCTGTCTATCCGGGACCCACCGGCTGTCTATCTGGGACCCACCGGCTGTCTATCTGGGACCCACCGGCTGTCTATCTGGGACCCACCGGCTGTCTATCACCGGCTGTCTATCCGGGACCCACCGGCTGTCTATCTGGGACCCACCGGCTGTCTATCTGGGACCCACCGGCTGTCTATCTGGGACCCACCGGCTGTCTATCACCGGCTGTCTATCCGGGACCCACCGGCTGGCTATCTGGGACCCACCGGCTGTCTATCTGGGACCCACCGGCTGTCTATCCGGGACCCACCGGCTGTCTATCACCGGCTGTCTATCCGGGACCCACCGGCTGTCTATCTGGGACCCACCGGCTGTCTATCTGGGACCCACCGGCTGTCTATCTGGGACCCACCGGCTGTCTATCACCGGCTGTCTATCCGGGACCCACCGGCTGGCTATCTGGGACCCACCGGCTGTCTATCTGGGACCCACCGGCTGTCTATCTGGGACCCACCGGCTGTCTATCCGGGACCCACCGGCCGTCTATCACCGGCTGGCTATCTGGGACCCACCGGCTGTCTATCTGGGACCCACCGGCTGGGTATCTGGGACCCACCGGCTGTCTATCTGGGACCCACCGGCCGTCTATCACCGGCTGTCTATCTGGGACCCACCGGCTATCTATCTGGGACCCACCCTCTGTCTATCACCGGCTGTCTATCTGGGACCCACCGGCTGGCTATCACCGGCTGTCTATCTGGGACCCACCGGCGGCCAGCAGACTGGCTATCTGGGACCCACCGGCGGCCAGCAGACTGGCTATCATGTTCTCCACGGCCGAGACGTCTATCTGTCTATCTGGGACCTACCGGCGGCCAGCAGACTGGCTATCTGGGACCCACCGGCGGCCAGCAGACTGGCTATCTGGGACCCACCGGCTGGCTATCTGGGACCCACCGGCGGCCAGCAGACTGGCTATCTGGGACCCACCGGCGGCCAGCAGACTGGCTATCATGTTCTCCACGGCCGAGACGTCTATCTGGCTATCTGGGACCCACCGGCGGCCAGCAGACTGGCTATCATGTTCTCCACGGCCGAGACGTCTATCTGTCTATCTGGCACCCACCGGCGGCCAGCAGACTGGCTATCATGTTCTCCACGGCCGAGACGTCTATCTGTCTATCTGGGACCCACCGGCGGCCAGCAGACTGTCTATCTGGGACCCACCGGCGGCCAGCAGGCTGGCTATCTGGGACCCACCGGCGGCCAGCAGACTGGCTATCTGGGACCCACCGGCTGGCTATCTGGGACCCACCGGCGGCCAGCAGACTGGCTATCTGGGACCCACCGGCTGGCTATCTGGGACCCACCGGCGGCCAGCAGACTGGCTATCTGGGACCCACCGGCGGCCAGCAGACTGGCTATCTGGGACCCACCGGCGGCCAGCAGACTGGCTATCTGGGACCCACCGGCGGCCAGCAGACTGGCTATCATGTTTTCCACGGCCGAGACGCGGCCGGCCATCTTGACCTCCATCGTCTTATGCATGTGCGTCTTGTAGCCGAGCAGGCGCGCTATGTCGTCCCTGGACAGAGGGGGAGGGGGTGTACAGTACACACATAACACTGTGCGTCTTGTAGCCGAGCAGGCGCGCTATGTCGTCCCTGGACAGAGGGGGGGAGGGTGTGTACAGTACACACATAACACTGTGCGTCCTGTAGCCGAGCAGGCGCGCTATGTCGTCCCTGGACAGAGGGGGGAGGGGGTGTACAGTGCACACATAACACTGTGCGTCCTGTAGCCGAGCAGGCGCGCTATGTCGTCCCTGGACAGAGGGGGGGAGGGTGTGTACAGTACACACATAACACTGTGCGTCCTGTAGCCGAGCAGGCGCGCTATGTCGTCCCTGGACAGAGGGGGGAGGGGGTGTACAGTGCACACATAACACTGTGCGTCTTGTAGCCGAGCAGGCGCGCTATGTCGTCCCTGGACAGAGGGGGGAGGGGGTGTACAGTGCACACATAACACTGTGCGTCCTGTAGCCGAGCAGGCGCGCTATGTCGTCCCTGGACAGAGGGGGGGAGGGTGTGTACAGTACACACATAACACTGTGCGTCCTGTAGCCGAGCAGGCGCGCTATGTCGTCCCTGGACAGAGGGGGAGGGGGGGGGGTGTACAGAACTCTGTACCACACTGTACCACATTGTACTACACCGTGCGTCTTGTAGCCGAAGCGCGCATCACACGCTCTGGAGAGACACCACCTGCCACGACGCAGCAGTACAAAGCGAAAGGCAGTACTTTCATCGCGCAAACACAAAACATTTTTATTTTCAATTTCAGCGATAAAAGCTAAACAAAAAAGAGTATGTATATACCGTAGACTAAAACCTGCGGAGAAAGAAATGGTTTGGCAGGGTTTCAGCAGTTTTGTTTGTGTAAAGAACGCCACAATAGCAGGAGAGTTAAGGCCGCCGTCCACTGCGACGGAATTCCGTCCGGAGTCCGTCCGGAATGTCGCCGCACGCTGGCCGCATCCGGTCCGGATGCGGTCCGGATGCGGTCCGGATGCGGAGAGCTAATAAATGTTTCCTATCACTTATTACCAAATAAAATATTGCAAGTAACCAGCAGCGAATACTCTTGCCATTCTAAGGAGATAATTTTTACTTACTTCATGATGATCGAGTTCCAATTCTTCGTACAATTCAAAATGTTTGCCTCCGATACGGCCCCAAACCACGTCTGTTCCGGACGTTCCGGATGCGTTTTCCGCAGAAAAGTTCAACGCGTCGGACATCACTCTTCCGTCTCCGTAGCAACCGCATCCGAAACGCATGCGGAGAGCTGACGGAAAATCAACAGCTGATTGCCGTTCGGATGCGGTCCGGACGGAGCGCAAACGATTTCCGTACGGACCGGATGCGCCCATAGGGTTCTGTGTTAAATTCCGTACGGACCGCACGCGTTCCGCACAGTGGACGGCGGCCTTTATTAATCGACCCTGGCACATTCCAGTTATAACGAGGCGGATCACCGGCCGACAGTGACCCCATCTGGACAGCGTCACTGACACATAAGGTGCTAACTAGCGGCCCGAAACCCTGGTCCGACCAGAGCCACTTACTGGCCCGGCGGGTCACCGTTCAGTAACTCCCCTGGCCCGGCGGAACTCCGCTCAGTAACTCCCCTGGCCCGGCGGGTCACCGCTCAGTAACTCCCCTGGCCCGGCGGAACTCCGCTCAGTAACTCCCCTGGCCCGGCGGCTCTCCCTGGATAGCTCGCACACAGCGGCTCTCCTCGGAGCGACTCACTTGGCCCAGCGGATCTCCTCCGAGCAGGTGCTGTTGCTGAGGTCGCGGTTGAAGTTGGAGCAGCGCATCTCGTGCGCCAGCCACACGTTGAGCCGGTGCGCGCCGCTGGGACAGTGCTCCAGGAAGGCGGTGTACACCTCCGGCTCCAGAGTGACCGTCCACGGGCCGGCGCGCGGCTCCGAGCTGCCCGACGGCGGCGGTCAGCAGTCAGCACTCAGCGGCCGGTGGCGGACTTTACTACATTTCCATCACTGACCGGGAGGGTCACACGATGGCCTGGGACATCACCATGTCGTATCGTAGGCTTACTCTGGCTACCGGCAACAGGTCCGTTTTTCCCGCGAAGCTCTACTTCGATCAGGAGCCGAACAGACAGAGGTTCACCCAGCCCCCCCCCCCCCACACACACACCAACACGTCAGAGGCTGTGAAAACGCAACAACGGGGCATTTGTGGCGAGAATCGACCTGGCACCACCCACCCTCAGAGACACCAGTCAGTAAGGTTGATGGATGTCACTCTATAGTGTCAATCTGCCTTGTCAGTCTGTAATGTCTGTCCAGTGTCAGTCTGCGGTGTGTCAGTCTGCGGTGTGTCAGTCTGTGGACTGTCAGTCTGTCAGTCTGCGGTGTGTCAGTCTGCGGTGTCAGTGTGTCAGTCTGTGAACTGTCAGTCTGTCAGTCTGTGAACTGTCAGTCTGCGGTGTGTCAGTCTGTCAGTCTGCGGTGTGTCAGTCTGTCAGTCTGCGGTGTGTCAGTCTGTCAGTCTGTCAGTCTGTGGCGGCGGCGTCCACTCACGGGTTGTGCGCCATCCGCTGCAGAATGTGGTCGGGGATGCCCCTGACCAGGTCGTACTCGACCACCCGGTGGCGGAACACCTCGTCCGAGGCGCGCACACGACCTGCCGGAGGGTCAGCGCCCGTCAGGGCCGGTCAGCGCCGCCACCGGCCGGCGGGCGCCGACTCGGCACAACGCAGCAGCCCGCGCCGACACCGGGCGGCCGGACCGCTCCCATCAGCTGGTACATTACAGCAATATCTAAACGAGTTACAGAGTCCAACTGTGACGCAGGGCGTCTCAGAGCTGTCCCTCAGACATCTCAGAGCTGTCCCTCAGACATCTCAGAGCTGTCCCTCAGACATCTCAGAGCTGTCCCTCAGACATCTCAGAGCTGTCCCTCAGACATCTCAGAGCTGTCCCTCAGACATCTCAGAGCTGTCCCTCAGACATCTCAGAGCTGTCCCTCAGACATCTCAGAGCTGTCCCTCAGACATCTCAGAGCTGTCCCTCAGACATCTCAGAGCTGTCCCTCAGACATCTCAGAGCTGTCCCTCAGACATCTCAGAGCTGTCCCTCAGACATCTCAGAGCTGTCCCTCAGACATCTCAGAGCTGCCCCTCAGACAGGGGAAAGGTGTGCTGTGACAGGAAGACCATCACCGGCTACATATAGCTACGGTGATGGCTACATAGACATTGACAGCATGATTCCATACACGTTCCGCCAGCATACAGCTCATCCACACAAAATCGTCCACTAAATCACACCAGACTCGCTCCGTAAATAAGACCAAATTCGCTCATTGAACTACCTGAAAACTCGCTCAGAAAAGTACACCAAAGTCCCTCAGTAAATCACACCAAACTCACTGAGCAAATTACTGCACTCATTCGGTCCATTAACACCAGACTCTCTCAGTAAACTACTCCAGACTCACTCAACAAATTACTGCAGACTCATTCCGTCCATTAACACCAGACTCCCTCAGTAAACTACTCCAGACTCACTCAACAAATTAATGCAGATTCATTCAATAAAATACTCTAGACTCACTCGTGAATTACACCGGACTCGCTCAGTAACTCAAACTAGACTCACTCAGTGACTCAAACCAAACTCGATCAGTGACCCACACCAGACTCGCTCCGTGACTCACACCGGACTCGCTCAGTGACTCACACCGGACTCGCTCAGTGACTCACACCGAACTCGATCAGTGACTCAAACCAAACTCGCTCAGTGACTCACACCGGACTCGCTCAGTGACTCACACCGGACTCGCTCAGTGACCCAAACCAGACTCGATCAGTGGCCCACACCGGACTCGCTCCGTGACCCCCACCGGTGCCATGCGCCCGTTGGGCCGTCCCGAGCAGCCGCCCTCCGCCCGGCCTCACCGATAAAGTCGGCCTGCTCTCGGCGCAGTTTACTCGAGTGCAGTTTGAACTTGCGCAGGTCGGCGCCGCGCAGCTCCAGGCCGTTCAGCCGGCCGTCGCGGGCGTACTTTTCGACGACGCGCGTCTGCTCCTCTGAGAGCAGGTGTCGGTCCGAGAGCAGCTCCTGGCGGCCAGAGCGCAGCCCACCGACCCGTCAGCGCAGCCCACCGACCCGTAAGCGCTGAGCCCCCTCTCCCCCCCCCCCCCCCACTGGCTCTGAGGCGGCTCCGCCCACGGCCTGAGCGCGGCCCGCGCGGCCCATACCAACACGTCAGATAGCAGCGCCTGGGAGGCACCAATGGAAGGAGGCATCGAGCGACCACCGAGGTCGACAGAGGCCCTTCCCAGCGGGGGATCAGCGACAGCCGACTTCAGACACGGGCACAGCACCTACTGATCAGCGACAGCCGACTTCAGACACGGGCACAGCACCTACTCATAGTCTCACTGAACAACGACAATTATCTATCAAGAGTGAGCGAAGCGGTCTTCGAAGAACAACGTACATTTCCGAGTATCAGCGAGCAAGTGCTAAAAGTGCTACAATAGTCAGATTTTTTAAGCCTGTCTAATCGTTTAAAGCGCTCTAAATGTAAAGCCCACGTGAAGCATCCATACCTTTAAAACTGGCCTGCGGAAACATTTATCTTAATTTTTATTTTACTTTCGACTCTATTCATTGCAATGGCTCGACTCGTGCCCCAATGGCTCGACTCGTGCCCCAATGGCTCGACTCGTGCCCCAATGGCTCGACTCGTGCACTTAGAGCGATCAGACGGGCTTGAAAAACCAGTAACTACTACCCGGATCCCCAGCGGTGTACCAAATTTTAACCTAATCGGCCCAGCCATTGTCCAGATCCGGAAACGACCCCTGCACGTGCACACGTGCAGTTGTTGCATTCCAACTGTGATGCATGGAAATGCATTGCCCAGAGGCGCCTAATGGTATGACAAGATTCGGCGCAATCGGCCCAGTAATTGCCCAGTTATTGTAAAGGTAACCAGCTGGACACCCCTTCAGAGTTCGGGCTGCACTGGCCACGACGAGCAGTGGGGTCAGCCGAATATTGAGCTTTTCTAACTTCTTAAGCAAGTGGAGCAGCTTTAAACCCCATGACTTAGCACATACCACGACAATCACCTACATAAATCAAGAGTAGTTAATTACGGCGTAGAGGGGGTCTTCTGTTGGGTAGGTAGCTCCTACCCAACAAAAAGACCGCAGGTCAATCGGTCTAGCGGTTGCTGAGATATAAGCCTCCCAAAAGCGTTACAGGCCGGAACGGGTCGGCCGTTCATGCAGATAATTTTTTTTTCCATTTCATTGAAAAGACTCGCTTTATGCGAACTTGTCATTATCTAGTTATGACTCTTGTCCAACTCATCGATTGCCACCCTATGTAATTCCGCCGTTTCCCGGTTCGCCCCCCCCCCTCCCCCAGTGCCTGGTCCCCCTCCCCCGGTCACCTGGCAGGCGGCGTAGATGGACGGGTTGTTGTACTTGCTGACGTGCGCCTTGGCGGCGGCGGCGTGGATCTGCTGGAAGAGGCGCGCCGGCACCAGCTGCCGGTCCACCGTGTACAGGTTCTTGACGGTGGACCACACGTAGCTGAAGGGCACCTCGCGCCGCTCGATCGGCCCCACCACCTCATCGCAGGTGAGCGGCTCGGCGCGCGCCAGCAGCCGGCCCGTGTCTGCAGCGGGCAGCGGCGGGGGGGGGGGGGGGCGGTACCACTGTCACACTGTCCGGGCCAGCAGCCGGCACGGACCCACAGCCCCCTGTGGACGGACCCGTCCCACAGCCCCCTGTGGACGGACCCACAGCCCCCTGTGGACGGACCCGTCCCACAGCCCCCTGTGGACGGACCCACAGCTCCCTGTGGACGGACCCGTCCCACAGCCCCCTGTGGACGGACCCACAGCTCCCTGTGGACGGACCCGTCCCACAGCCCCCTGTGGACGGACCCACAGCGCCCTGTGGACGGACCCACAGCCCCCTGTGGACGGACCCGTCCCACAGCCCCCTGTGGACGGACCTGTCCCAGGCCCACCGCTGCCGGGTGGCCAACACGGAACGAAGGGCTCCGTGTGCACCGGCTGCGGGCCGTCAGTACTCAGCCATACCCATTGAAGGAGTGGGAGGAATACCGCAGCTCAACTCATTTAGCCAGGATACATACAGATGTCCAAACTACAGGACACTGACTACTGACTATAGAGCTCATGAGGGACAACTCATATTCTGCAGAGGGACCTGTGAAGTATGTGCGTACTGAGAAATAGTCAGACATGCTTTATTATCCTGTGATAAAACGAGCCAGATGGACAATTGCCGTACCTTCAAGATCATCCCCGTAGCAGGCCATATCGTACTCAAACTGGTAGGCCAGCTTGAGGACAGCATCGTGACACTTGAGAGGCGTGAGTTCCGAGTACTTTGGCGGCTGACCGGTTCTCAGAAGGCAGTTTGTCTCTGGTGTGTCCTCAGGAATCTCAGGAAAGCTAAAATACATAACATTTGTTAGTTTAAAGTAAACATGTCAGTAAGCATACACCCTAGGCTTGTCACAAGTTAACCCGCGCCGGGCCGGTGCTCCGAGATTCCGTGCCGGGCCGGGGGGGGGGGGTGTCTGAACACCCCCCTCTAACTCGGCTTCTGGGCCACGTAGCGACACGCGGTAAGCGGACGAAAACACTTCGGTCATATTTTTGGGTCAGGTCAAAGGTCAGGTCACCAGAGGTCACCAAAGGTAAAATGTTGACTATTTCAACATTTTGGAAACTGCCGACGGCTATCTCGGGAGCCGATAGAGCTACAGCGCCGCGGAAAAGCGCATTCGATAGCCCTTTTACAGACCCTTCTGAGTACTGTCCTCAGATTTGACCTCAGGTCAACGGTTTAGCCTCCAGAGGGCAAAAACTCCAAAAATAGCCGTTTTTACGAAAAGCGTTTTTCGGCAATAACTCTGGACTCAAAAGAGCCATGACATTACTTTTACCAGCATCGTGTTCCTCTCGTCGAGACGCGTCGAATGAACTATAATTTGACCTTGAAAGGTCAACTTGAGAATTTGACCTCAGGTCAAGGTCATGACCTGACCGGAAAAGGTCATGTTGCAAATCAGTCGATCCGCAACGTCGAGCCGAACACATCTAAGGCGTTTTCAGCGCTTTAGCACGCCTCTATCAGAAGTTATTAGCGAAAAACTGTTAGATTCTGTTTGTGACCTGAGATGACCTCGGGGACATAACGAGGGGTCACAGTTACCATTTTCCGGTTCAGTGTGTCAATTTTACCTACATCTCGATGTTTGAGAGTGTTTAGAATAGCGTTCGTGCAAAACAGACGCTTTTCAATTTTCTGCCATTGACTTATAATGAAGAGGCCGCAAAATTGACCTGACCTTAGGTCACCGATATCAAAATTCCGAGATAAACATTTTATAGATAATGTTACTCTTATCCATCGCTGAAAGTTTCAAGGCAATCGATCAATCGGTGTAGCTATGGCGAGCATTCTTATTTTTTATGAGATGAGGTCACTTGGCGTGACCTGGTGAACTGACCTAAGGCGACCTGGGTCTGAAATTTTCACAACATGTGCGGAAAAGATGCACGAACAGGTGTGCCAAAAACGGCGGCACGGACGTTTTTGAGATATCTGCGAAAAAACGCAGGGGGGGGGGGTGTTCAAAGTCAAACAACCCCCTGGCCCGGCGCGGGGTTAACCCGGCAGGCGGTGGGCCTACCAGCCACCTTCCACGCGGTGGGGGGGGGGGGGCACTTTTTTGCCCCCCCCCCCCGTATCTCCGAAACTACTGGACGGATCCGGAAAATTCAAACGGCGTTCGATAGCCCTGTCAAATTTGTCAAGGGAAACCAAATTTCATTGACCTCGGGGTCACCGATGACGTCACAGGTCAGGTCAAAGATAAAATGTTTCACCGTTCACGGGGCTTCTAGGGAAAGCGCTGTAACACCGAGAAAAACGCATTTTGTCGAAAATCAGCGATAAGGCGTCAGTTGTCTAGTACATATGTTGCTATTAGAGGTCACTGGTCATACCAGGTCAGGTCACCAAAGGTCACCAAGGGTCACAACATGAGCCCAACTTTACTAAGGTTATGTGATGCATGTTTTATGGCCAGTTTTTCATTTCCAACTCAATGGTGTTGGTTATAAGACCATCAGGTACGGTTTAGGTCACTTTCTGGTGGAGGTCAGGTCAAGGTCAGGTCAAAAAAGGTCAAATTTCAAAGTTGATATTTTTGCATAAAATGGGTATTGATTCGATGCAGCTCGTCACGGGGAGTCTAATGGTGGTCTTTGTTTTGCGCTACGAGGTCTAGAATTGCTAAAAATTGAGTTTGAAAATTTGACGTCATCAATTTTGAACAGTTTTTTCGCTATAACTTGGCCAAAAAACGAGGTATCGATCTCAAATTTGGTATGTAGATAGAAGGCGGTAGGGACTATCACATATATTCCGGTTTTTTCGAAATTCAAAAAACTTTTTGGATTTTTTGGCTATTATATTCAAAAAATCTATTTTTTGATTTTTGGGGGTCAAAATCCAAAAAATTCGAAAAACCGAAATAGCAGTTTTGTAGCCCTTTTGATTCCACACCTTTTATGTCAAAAACATTTTTCTGTATCTCTAAAGCTGTAGGCCTGACAGCTCTTCCCGCGAAACCTTTTTTTGGGTCGAAAATGGCAAAAATGACGTCACTCTTACGTCATTAGCGGCCAACCTATCATAGCCTTTGGAAAAATTTTTGGTCACCATGTGCGCTAGCTGCTCCCGGGAGGGTACTGAAAGTTTGGTGACGATCGGCGCAGCAGTTCTCGAGATATATCGAAAAAAGTAAAGGGGGGGGGGGGGGCAAAAAAATGCCCCCCCCCCACCGCCTGGAAGGTTAAACAAGCTTCATTACTGTTATCTGTACTTTATTAGATCATGATATACTATTGCACTATGTCTTCATCCAGTACCCAATGATATAAATTTGACACCATCAATCACAATACCATTTTGGTCATATACAAGCAATGCAATGCGGATTCGCCACCACATCCAATGGACCCAGTGCTAACTGGGACTCTCACTCTGTAAGGCAGCCAGGCAGCGGCAGTGCCGCGTGCATTGCACGGAAATTGAGCCCGGATGGCTGAATCTATAGGCAAGCAACTTGCTCACAGAGCAGAATGCTCCCCGGTCATAGACAACAATATCACCTCCACCTCATGGTCAGGCTTGGCGCCCCTGCCTGTAGTACCTCAAACCTTGGTAGGTGAACTGGAATGTGAAGTCATCACCCATAGCACTTCTTTTTTGGAATATTGTTTGCTAGCTGCATGCATAGACTAGATTGACTCACTTCTGGTGAAAATCAAGCTCCATTCAGCATTTATCACTCCAATGATATCAATTAGGTATTTCATATTAACCCTCGCCCGCACATGCCATTTTCCCATCCTAGAACGCACATGGGGGGGGGGTACCATCCCCCTGCGCCATTTCGTTCCCGTTAGAGATATAGCTTCGCGGTAAAGACCAACTGATTCTTTGGGAAGAGACGAATCCAATGGTACCCAATTTTACCTCATTAGGTCCATCATTGACCTTCCAGGTCAGGTCAAACTAAAAAATGTTGCTGTTTGGGGCCACCGTCGGAATATCACGTGCGGTGCCCATCATATACCGATGGCGCTGCCCTTTGTGGTGCCAAGCCAGCTAGAACAGCTCTTTGTCACACTATCTGACTAGGTTTTTACCGGATGTGGTCATTTCAGGTCAAGCTAGGCCAAGGTCAATGATATGTGTTTGTATGTCTGTGTGTGTCTGCGTGCACTGCATACTGATGTGTGCACCAATTGATTTGTGTGCCCCTATTACATGAGATCATGATCTGAGAAGCTTTTACCAAAAATGCAGTCCAAAAACTTCACGAAAACTGATAAGTAAATTCAGCAAGCCTAAACTAATGTTTTTAGATGACCTAGGTTGACCTTGACCCTGACATCTGCACATCGTCGAATAACGTGTTCCATGATAGGTGGGAGGTAAGACTAGCAAAAACATACCGAAATATAAGGTGCCAAAAGCTCACAAGACCCATAGCCAACGCAAGATGTTGAGTATTGGTCGTTTGGGTCATGACATGACCTGAAAAAACAAGGTCATACCTCCGAAACCAAAAATCACAGAAACTTGAAACTTTCAGTGGACATCAAGAAAGGATAGAGGAGCAGCTATACGAAAAATCAGGCTTTTAGCTTAAAAAATGTTGAGTGCAGAGCAGAAAAACTACCTCGGGCCTGGGGGGGGGGGTGGCAACCCCCATGTGCGGGTGAGGGTTAAGAATGGCAAGGCCAAGATGACAGATTTCTTTTTGGACAAAACTCGGTCATTTCCGTCTTTTCCACTCTTTTAAAACTGAAGAAATTCACAAAACAAAATCATGAAAAGAAAAACACATCCTTCTTAAGTAGAAAAGTGAGATCACACATAGATACTTGCAGTGGCGGCGCCACGAATTTTCGCCAGTGGGGGCAAGCTTGAGGTGACCAGACTGTTGTCTGATACCTCGATCTGGAAAATCCATGAGCACCTTCCTTGCCCCTAGATTCTGCCATTCAAAATTATTTTGGTTTCAGGTGTCATGCATACGTATTGAGCTTAACCACTAACCCTCGAGGGCCCGGAAGGGGGCGGGGGGCGTTTTTCGCCTCCCCTTAGGCGAATATTTGCGATACCTCATGAACGCTTAGGGATAGAAAGAGGAAACTTGCTGTTAGAAATGCTGATAGAAAAAAGGACCTAGCCTTCTTGATAACATCTCAGGGCCGATTTTTCAAAACTCCTGCACGGCAAACTTCGGTGTCACAGGCGTGAACTTCCACCAGCTGCCAAAAATAGAGTTTTAGAGATAAGACAAATTACGAGCACGGTTGTGTAGCATTTGACCTAGGAAAAAATACTTAAGTAACTTTGGTGACCTGAGGTCAGAGGTCAGGTCAACGACCTTAAGAGCTGGGGCTTTAGTTTTTTTTTTCGCAAATAACTTCAACAAAAATGGTCCTAGAGCTACGGCGGCGGTACTTTCGTATTCGTCTCGTCGAGACATGTCGAATGACATGTATATTGTTTGGAAAAGGTCAAGTTTTATGTTGACCTCATGTGACCTCGAATGACCTTTGACACATAAAAGGTCGTTTGTGATGATTTAGTAGCCGCTGATCACGATTATGGCATTCATTTTGCTCTAAGCATTAATTTGGAGCCTCAGGATAGGATGGCAAAACATGTCTAATTATTAGGTATTCCTGATTTAAATAAGTGAAATAGCCTAGTCTAGCAAGGATACTCTCTTGTGACTTTGACCTTGTAGCAGCATTGTATGGTAAGCTAAAGCACAAATAGGGGCCCGCTGAGCTTCAAAACATTTCAAAACATCTCGGAATTTAGTATACAAGATATAAGAAAAAGTGCAAAGTTTGTGGTCAATTTTGATCATGACCATGACCTTGAATTTGAATGTTATGCACATCATCGGAATCCTCAGACTCTCTTCTTTCGTTTAAAATCCATTTTAGCCGGTCTTATGCACCATGCCGTCCCCTGGAACACGCACTTTGAGACCACCACAAAAGTGCCGGTTTTTGCCTTTGACCTTGACTTTTAACCTTGAAAACTGACCTGAGGTCAAAAATTTTAGCTGCTTTAGAATCTTCGCGTAGATACCTTTCATTTGGTACCATTTTTGTTTCCGTAGCTGCCTTATTTACGGAGTTAGACAGGGGGGGGGTACCCCCGGGCTGCGATGGTTGGGATTACCCCCGGGCCCGGGCGGGCTAAGGTCGCGAGCAAATAAAACTATAAAATTAGATTGCGAGATACAAACCTGTGAATAAGTTATGTTGTTCGTTGAGATGTAAAATGGTGTATTTCTCAAAACGATAATCAGTACCTAGTTCTCTTTTTCCCGTAGTGCGTACCTATATGTGCGATTCTGTCGCACACGATTGATATGCCAGAATAAGCTCCATTAGGGCGATCCAATACATTTCCAGATAACTCGGACACACATATCTATCACATTTTGTCATACCTATGTGAGCTCAGTCTCAGTCTAAGGGTTCCTAAAAGAGGGTGATCTCTTCTCTGGCCGATTTTGACAACCTGCCTCTCAACCTCCTCGAGGTCAAGCTCGAGGGCAGCATCCTGGTGAATGAAAATGAGTAGGAGAATGAGTGGGAGTAGGAGATATGCGACAGACGGTCCGAGAACGAACGTTCTGCTGATATACTTGATACGGGGACCGTCAAAAACAGGCATGCTATTATAACCGCCTACCATGAATGTTGCACCGGTCTTCTGTTTCCATTTCAACATCAGCCAAATTTTGTGGGGGCAAAAACATAGTCTTGCCCCCACGGCCTCCTGCCAGTGGGGGCAGTGTGCCCCCACTGCCCCCACGGTGGCGCCGCCCTTGGATACTTGATACTTTTTACACAAAAAATTTATAACTTACACCCAACCACTCATTAAGATTAGGTTAGGTTACATGGTACATGGTACCTATATAAGTAGATTTAGGTTGTAGGTTAGGTTGTAGCCTGTAGGGCAGGTTGTAGGTTGTAGGTTGGTAGGTTGAAGGTTGGTAGGTTGAAGGTTGGTAAGTTGAAGGTTGGTAGGTTGAAGGTTGGTAGGCTGAAGGGGTATCGGTAACCCTGGCGTCACCGGTTATGTTTTCGTTCAAGGTTAAGGTTTCCTGTATTAGGCCGCCGTGCCAGGCCGAAGCATGCTGTGACGTCACTGGAAGAGAAGATAACGTACTACGCTATCAGTATCGACTGAGACTCAGATAGACTCAGACCGACTCAGGACGACTCAAACTGACTCATCGACTTAAATATTCTGATCGACTCGGACAGACTCAGAACGACTCAGGCAGACTCGAACCGACTCAGGCAGACTCAAGCTCACTCGACCGACTCAAACCGATTCAGATCGACTCAGATCGACTCAAACTAACTCAGACCGACTCATCCGACTCAAATCGATTCCGATCGACTCAATTCGATTCCGATCGACTCAGAGAGACTCAGGCAGACCCAGACCGATTCAGATCGACTCAGACTGACTCAGACCGACTCAACCGACTCAAATCGATTCCGATCGACTCAGACAGACTCAGAACGACTCAGGTAGACTCAAACTGACTCGACCGACTCAAACCGATTCAGATCAAACTGACTCAGATCAACTCAACCGACTCAAATCGATTCCGATCGACTCAGATAGACTTGGAACGACTCTAACAGACTCAGGCAGACTCAAACTGACTCGGCCGACTCAAACCGATTCAGATCGACTCAGACTGACTCAGCTAGACTCAGAACGACTCAAACTGACTCAGACCAAATCAACCGACTCAGATCGATTCCAGTCGACTCAGACAGACTCAGGCAGATTCAAGCCGACTCAAAGTCAACTGACTGAAACCGATTCAGACCGACTCACACAGACCCATCGGTTTGACCTGAATTATCAGACCTGAATCGGTTTGAGTCGGTCGAGTCAGTTTGAGTATGCCTGAGTCAGTTTGAGTCTGTCTGAGGCTGTCTGAGTCGTTCTGAGTTTGTCTGAGGTCTGAGTCGATCAGAATCGATTTGAGTCGGCTGAGTCGGTCTGAGTCAGTTTGAGTTGTTCTGAGTCTACCTGAGTCGGTTTGTGCCTGCCTGAGTCGGTTTGAGTGTGTCTGAGTCTGTCTGAGTCGTTCTGAGTCGGTCTGAGTCGATCAGAACAATTTGAGTCGGTTGAGTCGTTCTGGGTCAGTTTGAGTCGATCTGACTTCTGAGTCTTTCTAAGTCGGTCTGAGTCTGCCTGAGTCAATCGGAATCGATTTGAGTCAATCGATTTGAGTCGGTTGAGTCAGTCTGAGTTAGTTTGAGTCAGTCTGAGTCAATCTGAATCGGTTTGAGTCAGTCGAGTCAGTTTGAGTCTGCCTGAGTCGGTTTGAGTCTGCCTGAGTCATTCTTTACGTTATCCTCTCTTACCCAGTGACGTCACAGCATGCTTCGGCCTGGCACTGCGGCCTAATACAGGAAACCTTGACCTTGAATGAAAACGCTACCGGTGACGCCAGGGTTACTGATACCGGTTGAAGGTTGGTAGGTTGTAGGTTGGTAGGTTGTAGGTTGGTTGGTTGTAGGTTGGTAGGTTGGTAGGTTCAAAGGTTGGGTATTCTCTTAGCAGACGTCACCCGAGCTGCCATATCCAGTTAGGTAGGTTGGTAGGTTAGGTTGTAGGTTTGTAGGTTAGGTTGTAGGTTGGTAGGTTAGGTTGTAGGTTGTAGGTTGTAGGTAAGGTTAGGTCAGGTTTGATTATGTTTTGTTATATATTTAACTGTGAAAAGACAATTGTTGCCCACGTGAGACATAGATATGGCAGCTCGGGTGACGTCTGCTAAGAGAGTACCCAAAGGTTGTAGGTTAGTAAGGTTAGGTGAGGTTAGATTAGGTCTTTTACTTCCGCTTGCATTGTACCTGATTTTTTAAACCATGTAATGATTGTATGACAAATTTTCTAGGTTGATAAATGGGTAATGGTTAGTGACAATATCAATATGGTTTGGTTTTTATTCAATTTTGAGCCCAGGGTGCAAAAGAGATTTGACTGAAAACTCAGCAGATTTCACATTCACAACCAGCCTTACTGTCAGAAAATTGATATTAGCACAATGAAGTAGAAACCTCTCTAAAAATGGCAATCCTTAGAAGAAAATGTTCAAAAGGGACAGGACTCACAGCACATAAGTACTTATCCTCCTCAGGGGATTTGTCTTGTAAAAACGTAGCGCCGACAACATTTTTCTCCTATTAATATACAATGTCACAAAATCTTAGATGCCTTCATTTAACACAATCGAGCAAAATAATACAGAACAAGCGGCTGTAAAACCTCCATCAAACTCGACTCTGTAACGAAGCAAGGCCCTATATAGAGTAACGAAGCAACGAATATGGGCGCAGCCATCTTTGATAGGTGATGTAACGATAGTGACTAAAATGCTGCCAAGTAGGCGGAGGTAAAGATCTGGAAGACGGAGCCCGTTGCAGTCAAGAGCGGATCCAGGGGGGGGGGGACATAGGGGCCATGCCCCCCTTGGCTCTGAAAGGGGGGCCAACATATCTTTTGGCCCCCTTTCATCCGTGCTGTTTCTCACAGCCGACTAATTTCTCAGAATTATTTTCACCATTTCCATCGACGCTAAGGCCGAACTTAGCGAACTTAGCTAGAACTTAGCTAAGGCCGAATAACTTTTTTGTTATTTATTGAACAGGGATTTACGCATGAACATTTTTTGGCGTGCTGGCAACCAGCTTATGCAGCACACTGCACAGACAGCTTGATTTTCAACTATGCCCGTTTGGCTGTAACTGCAAGGCGCCGAGGTTGGCCGCCGAATTCCATTTGTCTATGTCTTGCTGGAAGGTAGCCCAAAGATCCTCGCTCAGGATTAGGGTCCGGATGGTAGCCGGTTATTTCTTCAAAACTCCGGCAGGCTCGATTGACACAACCACCTGGACCTTGGTAGAGCAATAAGCTGGCGCGCCGTCCTCCATGAAATTGCATGTTGACCTTCCATCGACCGTCGAGGCCATGCGTCGACTCAGAACTGATCCGCTGGAGGCTATTGGACCGTGCAATATTTCCCAAAATCTTTTTTTCCAAAATATTTATCCCTTAGGGGTAGACCCAGTAAACATGCCGACGTCGGCCCGACGTCGGGCCGAGGCTCGGCCCGACGTCGGCCCAGCGTCGGTTCAACCTCGGCCCGACATCGGCTGGACGTCGGATATGCCCGCATGTTCCGACGTCCAGCCGAAGTCCAGCCGACGTCGAGCCGACGTCGGGCCGAGATCGTTTGCCGAGGTTGACGAGATCGTTTGTCGTTGGACCGACGGGGCCGACGTCGGCATGTTTATTGGGACAACGCGCCAAAAATATCAACCGGCGGCGGGATTCGAGCCCCCCAGTCGCCGACGTCAGCATGTTTACTGGGACAACACGCCAAAAGCATCAGCCGGCGACGGGATTCGAACCCCGTGTCATTCGAATGCGAGGTTAGTGCGCTAACCACTACACCACGCAGCCAGCTAACGAGTTTGGTTTGTTTTGTTGGGTTATGCCCTTTCGGTCTGACAAGACCATTTCAGAGCCGGAAGGATCATAGGATGGAGACATTGGTCTTCTTTGCGAGCCTGGGTCCAGTTCATATAGAGTCCCTGGTCCCATTGCTGTTACGTGACACTTATTGGAAAGGGCGACCCCACAATGGATTCATATAGCCACTCTTACACACCTGCACCAACGTTTCCCAAAGTGTCCCTTTGATAAGTGGCACTTTGGCAAAGTGACACTTGCCGACTGGCCTTTCTATATGAACTGGGCCCGGCCCTGGTGAGTTGCCGGGGCTGAGCCTGACCAAAGGATAGGCCGAGCAGCCCCCAAGCACTCACCGCACCCGGCTACGGGCGAGCTCGGCTTACGGGCAATCCCAAATGGGATAATGTTTCCCGTCCAGTCCGGATCAGGGGGTTGCGGCGTGGAGGAAGATTTGAGTTTCCTGAGGATATTTTGAATACAGAAGCTCTTTATGAAACATGAAACATGTATTTTATATTATTTTAACCCTATTAGTGGCAGGCTCCTGGCTACCCCATATTAGTGGCAGGGGGGGCTGTTTACGACCCCCCCTTGATATCTCGAGATCTAACGGGCCGATTTTCAAAATTCAAACGGCATTCGATTTCGCTCAACGTGATCTACATTTCTAAAAAATAAAAATTAAAAAATGTCAATAGGGGGGTAGAGGGGGGTAAAAACGGGCAAATTGCAGATACATTTTAGACTGTTTATCACGGCCAGGTTTCTGAACCAATCTTAACGCAACTTTTGCCGATCGACAGAGAATGAACCAGGAATTCACATGGATCCTAAAAATATGCATTTTCAAAAATCATAGGCGGATACAGATCATTGAGATTGGGGGTACACAAAAAGTATAGTAAATAAGGTTTTTGTTGGTACTGTTTCTAAAAAGGGTGGCAATGGTCTTGTTATGTTACAATTTTCTTATGAGAAAACGACTACAATTGTATTGGTCATGCATAGGCGGTGTCAGGGCACCTATGTTGGGAGGTAAAACATAACCCCCCTTTTTGAACGCCTGGATCCGCCTATTATAGCAAAAACGTGTCAAAAGAGGATGCACAATAACTTTGTATATGTTATCACATGATACCTTTCATTCAATGTTCGTAAAACTGGTGTATACAGTTATAATACATCAGCATCGTGATCTTCGCCCCAAATGACTCGCTTCACGAATAGGACCCCCCAATTCCAAGTGCTCTGGAGCCGCCTCTGGTAAAGGTATGAACTTGAAATTTTCAGGGAATGTGCCCAGTTTAGTTTTAGGAAAAGTCCGAAAATTTCAGCATCGTAGCTTCAGCAGTTTCGGAGATATTCCCGAAAAACCTGAGGGGTGGATAAAAACAACCCCCCCCCTGCCACTAATAGGGTTAACGGTCAAAACAGCGGCCGATGTCGGTCCGACGTCGCCCCGACGTCAGCCCGACGTCGGCTGGACCTCAGCAATTGATCTCGGTCCGACGTCGGCCCGACGTCGGCTGGACCTCGGCTGGACGTCGGAACATGCGGGCATATCCGACATCCAGCCGACGTCGTGCCGAGGTTGGACCGACGTCGGGCCGACGTCGGCATGCTGATGCCGAGTTGCCGACGTCACCCCGACGTCGGCCGACGTCGGGCCGACGTCGGCATGTTTACTGGGGAACGATGAGAAACCGGATAAGTGTTGCCCTAGGTAAATAGAGGACAAAACTTTTGCCGGACCCTGCATAAAACCACCTTGCAGTTTCCCTTCAATCGGCTTTGATCCAGCGGAAATGCGTATTTGGAAATTCCGACCTCGACGAGCATCTGTGGTAGAAAACCACCCCTTTGGTAGGGGAAACTACTGCTGTCTGCTACCATTTGCACTACATGTGTCGCTATAGCTGCGACATCTATGCATATTAAATCGCGACGTGTGTGTGCGGTGGCCGGTGATTCTTGGGTGATTCTACATTTCTGTAGTTAGCGATTAGCTAGGGCAGCAGGGTGGATCCAGACTTTCAGTTTGAGGGTGGGCGGACTCTTGGCCGGCCCGATCCCCGGCAGTCAAAGTTGCTGAGCGGGGGCCCGGGGGGGGGAGGAAGGTCCAATATAATGACCCAAAAGACATGCCTATTGCCCATAGGTATATACGTATGTATTGAATGGTATCAGCACTCAGCAGTGTGCCTCCTGAGATGTTAGTGATTTTTATCGATTCATCAAGTTGACGATTTGTTTTTTGCGGATATCTTAAAAACGGCAGCGCTCCGTGTCGGTGTCTTTTAACTTATTTAATAACCTTTAGCTTTAACTTTACCAATACCAATACAAACCAATATATACTATATATGCCTATAGGCAATATGTGTGGCATCATATTGGACCTTTCTCCCCCTTCCCCCGCTCAGCAACCGGACTGCCAGGGATCGGGCCGGCCATGAGTTACTCCACGCCCACCCGCGTATTTGGAAATTCCGACCTTGACGAGCATCTGTGGTAGAAAACCACCACTTTGGTAGGGGAAACTACTGCTGTCTGCTACTATTTGCACTGCAAGTGTCGCTATAGCTGCGCCATCTATGCGTAAAGCATATACCTACTGAACTGATACATATAAACCGCGACATCTGTGTGTGCTGATTCTAGTTAGCAATTACCGAGGGCACCAGGGTGGATCTTAAAAACGGCAGCGCTCCGCCGTCGGTGTTTTTTTTTTTTTTTAACTTATTGAATAACTTTTAGCTTTAACATTACCAAACCAAACCAATACGTAGCAATACATACGCAAATATACCTACATATAGTCAATAGGCGTGGGGCATCATATTGGACCTTTCTCCCTCCCCCCCCCCGCTCAGCAACTGGACTGCAGGGGATCGTGCTGGCCATGAGTTCCCCCACCCTTAACCAGGGATGCGGAGCCGTGGAAATTTCAGACGGCTCCGACTCCGGCTCCGCCGCTCCGGGTGAAATGTCATGACGGCTCCCACGGCTCTGAGTAAAATGGTCTGGCTCCGGCGGCTCCGACTCCAATACTCCAATACAGTAGGTACCAGGGATGCGGAGCCGTGGAAATTTCAGACGGCTCCGGCTCCGGCTCCGGCTCCGGAGAAAAAAATCGGCTCCGGCTCCGGCTCCGGGTGAAATGTTATGGCGGCTCCGGCTCCGGCTCCGGCTCCGAGTAAAATGGTCCGGCTCCGGCGGCTCCGGCTCCGGCGGCTCCGGCTCCGACTCAGTACATCCCCTACGCAATCAATTAAATACGGGTGGAAGAAAAATTGGATTGGTTATACTCGTTACTCTTTGCCATGACCGGCTCACCGCGTCCCCGCGCAAACGCACCTCGGAGAGAACTGGCAGAACAAAGGGCTAGGAAGCGATGGCATTGGAAACGCAGTCGCCGCGAATCGGAGTTCAGTGAACCATCGTAAGCTGACACCCGTCTCGGCTGCATTGGGGGGTGAGGGGTGGGGGGGGGGGGTGTGGGATGGGACGGTGCTGGGAGTCGCAGTCCACTGCACTGGTTTGAAAACAATGGCCGTCACCTGATGACTGGTCCTCATGTTCTGGGGATGCAGTAGACGTGGGGGGGGGGGGGGGAGAGCAAACAGGAAGTTGTTTGCGTACTGTGGGATACTGGGGATATTCGGATTTTTTCATTCACTTGATGGCCCATGACTTAAGTACCATATGTTTTACTGCCTTGTACTGTCAAACCGAACTAGGTCAATTATTTTTTTTCCTCTTCAAAAAATAAAAAGGAGCCGGAGTCGCCCCCTTTTTTGGCGGCTCCGGCTCCGGCTCCGGCTCCGGGCTATATTGTTTCACGGCTCCGGCTCCGGCTCCGGCTCCGGACAAAATATGCCGGCTCCGGCG